CCCCAAAACCCCAAAACCCCACTAAAGTAAATTGAATCAATTGAAAGAAGAATACACTATGATTTTATCAAAGAATAAATATATTAGAGTGCTCGATTGTATTTATATTATCTGCCGTAGATTCCTTGCTAACTTTACTTAATCACACTTGAGCAGCACTGCTTCTATCCTTTTTCTTTTTCTCACTTTCATAAATTAGGTCTTTGAATTCCTTGAGAGTAGAAGTCTATTCCTCGGTAAACTTATCTTTGAACATTTCATCAAATTCCTAGTTATGCAACTACTTCTTTAACTCTTAAGGCTTATTGCGATTAACCTACTTTATTTGATCGGCATAGGCATTCCAACCTACAAGGAACTTGTCCATTTGATCGTCTGTAGCTTTATCTAAATGAAGTCTGAATTCTTATTTCACATAGAGATCACCTAAAAGCATGAGGGATTGATTGATACATACCAAATAATCTAAGTTCATTAGGCATATTACGAATATGGAGTTTCATGATTCTTCTATAGAGTCTTAGAGCTAGCTGACCCTTTTCCATTGTGAATGTTGCCATTGAGTTTTATGAGTTTAATTATTAATTGCTTAAATTATTATTATAACAAACTAAGTCATCAATCAACCTAATATTCATTCTTTGCTAAGTGTATCAATCCTTAAATACATAAAATTATATTGCTTAGATCAAATGTTTGCAGATTATAGCAAATCAGCACCAGCAGACATGTCCATAGTCTATCTTTGCTCTTCCCTTTGTGATAAAACTTGCATCATCTCATTTGGATCAACATCTGAGTCCTTCATATACTACTCAAATATAGTCTTTTCAATGTTATCAAACAACTTGTAACCTTTATCAAACTTTCTCATGCAGTTCTTGCCACACTGGATCTCTATCTGACGCAGTTTACTCATTTCATCTGAACTCTCCTTATTTTCCCATACAGACAATGCTACATCTTTATCTTCTTTTATGCAAAGACTAGTACATCTAGAATATACCTTCAATAGCCAATCAGAGTAAAGATTTCTATCATATTTCTACTTGTTATCCTCAAGAGCCATCATCATTTGCTCATGATGATTTTAAGTGTTTTTAGATTTGGTATCAAACATGCCTTTCATGGTTTCCTTGTGCTTTCCCTTGACTTCTTCAGAGACTGGAGGATCAATATTGCGACGACTCATTTCTAATTTAAAGTGCTTGGCTGAGATTAACTTATTATTTTAATAATTTAATGTTATTAGGTTAGTTTGTATTTAATTCATTATCACTTGATCAACTAACAACTAATCTCTCAAAGCAGATTAAAGTCTCCAGAATCATTTTTCTTATTCTTGCCCTAATCATTAATAAAGAATGCACCGCCTTTCTCAGTGTCGGTAAACTTATCACTCTCAGCCTCATTTGCTTGATTTTAGTTTTTGGTGAAGTTTATCATACCTCGAGTAAATTAAAAAGGATTTTGCTCAGCTTCTTAATCTTCTTCTGAATCATTGTCGCAGAAATTTATTGGTCCAAATTTCTTTGCTTATAATTGCTTTTATTTATTATTACTAGTACTCTTAGGCTAGTTGTTTGAATGCCTAGCTCTACTTCTTGATCTAGATTTAGATTTATCAACAACGAAATTGTTCACTTTCATGTTTCCTATGAAATTCCTCTGAATTCTGATTGGAGTAATTGCTTTTTTAGTTTCAGGCAATTCAGTAAGTTTTTAATTTTTAATTTCCTCTGTGTGAGAATCTTCCATCAATAAAGATTCAATTAGATTAGAAGGAGGTGCTTTAAACATTCCTCTTCTAACTGGTAAATTACCTCGACGTTACTATGGTTGTGGATTCTATTATTATTAATTTATTTATTACTGCTGGGGAGATTATTTAGTCTCTTCAATTATTTGAGGTTTCTATTTCTCTATAGCCTTAAATTCGACTTCTAAATCTTCTATTTTCAATTCCTGAATTTAGTCAATTACGCTTTTATTCTATATATAGTTATTGCTTTCAATTTTATTTTCCCCTTCAATTTCAAGGACTGATTAAATCTAAGGCTATTCTTAAGATTATTATTATCTGAGGAGTGCAAGGATTGGATCTTCAGATGATAATCTTGTGATGTCTGTTTTATTTATTTTCTGAGCTGCTCCTGTCTTCGGTCTGCCTTTTATACTTTTTCTTGGATTGACTCCCCACATCTTTCTTTGTCTAGGCCCATCAACCCTCATACCAGTGCCGGGTCTTTGCATCTGAATTTTGAATGAAGTATTTTTTCCATCATTTGAGTTCATTATATTCATATTCTGATTAAATTCTCTTGCTTCAGCTTCCTCAATTTCTCGATTCTGCTTTTCAATAGTCTAATCAAATTAAAGTTTGTTCATTGGACTAGCATTCACACTCATTTCATAATTAGATTGATCTTAGCCATTTCCTTCGCCAAGTTCCTCTTCTATGATCTTGTCGATCTCTTTAAGATTGCATCTAAAGTTAAAATTTCTGACTCTAGGCTTCTTCTGCTGATTTAAAGAATTTTATTGCATCATTTGCAAAAGATTTGCACCAATACTGAATCTCATATCATCAGTTATTGGCTTTTAATCTTAAACAGTTTCCTCCAATTTTCTCATAAAGGTGCTCTCAGCATTTACATCTAGCTGCAATCTTTCATCCTATCCTTTTTGTGATTCCTCTTCTTAAGAGGGCTCCGTTTAGTTAACTGTGTATAATTTCTATGTAGATTAGAACTTTCTATGAGCTCTAGTCTGCATGAATCTGTATCTTTTAACCTGCTCATTTTCTTTAGTTTTAATTTTCCTTTTGACATCTCTTATTTCAGATCTCAATTCAATGAATCCATCCCTCATCATTGGCTTAATCTCTTGGTTTATTGTTTGTTCTAATTCAGTGTTTCTTTCGATCAGGTATTAATTTTGATTCTTTATTTCTGCTAACATCAGAAAGACTTACTGAAGCAACTGATTCGGTTGCGATGAAAGATTAAAGGCTTAAGTAGTTTGATTGTTTTACCTTTCATTCAATGAGATACTGTTCCTATTCTCTTTTTCATTAAAATCTTACTTTTATTTACTATCTTTGAGGCTTATATTAATCTTTTCTTGCAGCATCACATCCTTCTGAGATTTATTCAATTGATAATTATTTTCTCTACTTCCAAATGCTGTGTTTTCTATTTTCATTAAAGGTTCATATAGTGCCTTTGATTATTCTCTACTCTAGATTTACATTGAAGTTTTGAGTGTGAAATTGGCTCTAGTATTATCTAGAACTTTGATAGAATGACAGCAATCTTTAGTGAATTTATGTTTAGCTACCTTTTTATGCTTGTACATTTTTATTTTGAATTTGAATTTAATAAGTAATTAGGATAGGTTAGAATTTTACTAAAATTAATACAATTTTTAACAATAAAAATGAGCAGATAAGTTAACCGGAACAGAGCAAGAAACCCATTATCTGCAGCTGAATTAGCAAAGGTCTTTCAACCTAAGCCAAAAATTGTGACCTTTTTTGACATCTTTACCTTTGGAGTTATTGCTGCAGCTATATTTTTCAACAGTCTTACAGCAAGATCTATTATATTCAATGTTTCAATATCTGCTGCTTTATTATTGAAAGTGTTTATTGGAGTGTATTTTTACAAGCGAAACAATGCTCGATCACTCAGATTGTACTTCATGTTTAGATTTCTCTATAATGTTCTGGTTATTTATCCGTTGATAGCAGTTTTAAAATTCTTCACTGGAGTCTATGTAATGAATAACTTTATAGCTGGAGGGATCTTAGCTCTTTTTGAATTGATCATAACAGGTATATACATGAAGTATCTGTTTCTTAAAACTCCTATTGAAAATATTGAAGATATTCCGGGCTATATCATCAAAAGTAAGCAAGAAGATCTTACCGTGCTAAATATCAAGTCAAACAGAGCAGCAGATTATCTATCAAAATCATATGGGAAAAAATCTATACTGAACATTATCAAGAAGAAGTAAATATAAAATGAAAAGCAAAAACTGATGAAGAATAGCAGTGGGAAGCCAATGGGTACTTTTGAATTACTTTAAAGACGCTAAGAAGACTAGCATAGACGAAGAGTGGGTTTTAATCTTATTAGGCCTGAGGATGAGATTGAGGCAGAGATATAATTTGAAATAGTACAAGTAAATAAGAAGGCAAATAGCTCTAAGTATATGAGTTTTGAATTGATTCATAGCAGAGATGTTGTAAATGATGTTAAAATAATGGATCAAAAGGAAAAATAAAAGATTTAGTACATCGAGGATGCAAGAGAAGACATTGAAAGAGAGAAGGAGAAATTCAGAAGGGCAATGGAAAAAATGAAGGGGAAAAGTAGTGGAGATGATCAAGCATAGGTAAAGAAAAACTAAGATGACCTAAAGGAAGAAGAGGATTAGAATGGGCCAATAGTCTATACTGACTAAGTCAAGTTAAATAAAAAAGATGAAGACAATGTGCTACTTACGAATGAAGAAGATGTGGAACAATAAAGTGATAGAGCTGAAATGAATAGAAGCAATATTAATGATACTGCAGCTAAGTCAACTAATGAAAAAGCCACTCCTGTATCCAAAATTACAGAAAGTAAACAATAAACAACCACATTAAAATAGCCTGAGGTAAAATCTTAGAATTTACCTGCTCCATAATAGTTGCCTTTATAAAACTATCAGAGCAATAGATCAACAATTCAAACTAAAGTTTAAGAAGAAGTACCTTAAAGATAGGCCAGATCCTAGTAAAGATAGTCTTAAAAGTAAAAATTTAAGAGTTATGAAGAAAAATTTGAAATTTAGAGACTTTAAATCTAAAAGCAGCAATAGAAAGGCCCTCAATAGCCTCAGTAAAGATAAGCAAACTCGAATGGCAGAAATTAATAGAACTAATCAAACAAAAGGAAATATTAAGATGATGACTATGATAGCGAAGATGGGTCTGATAGCTATGACTCTGAAGATTCAGAGAGGAGAAGGAGAAGAAAGAAGATACAGCAAATTAATAATTAATAGAAAAAGATTCATGGAGTTAACGATGGCGATAGCAGTAGTAGTCTATCTGAGGATGATTAAAAAAAGAAAAGCAATAGAAATCAAAAAGCTAATACCAATAATAACTCAAGAAAAAATTAGTCTGCTAAAGGAGGCAACTAAAAGTAGGTCCGCTTTGATGAGAATAAAAATACAATTAAAAATGCTTCTGAATTAAATAGAGGACTCAATTAAAATAAAGGAAAACAGGATGATTCTTATGACACAGAGGGAGATTCATACTGAAATTGAATATTCTTGATGCATATATCATAAAAAATCTGGCCATAAACTTTCGGGTAGCTCGTTTCACATTAATTTATTTAACAATGTCCCTTTGCGGTTTTATTAATATTTTACCAACATAAAAACCTGTTTATGAATACTTAATGCTTATGGGGTTTTGGGGTTTTGGGGTTTTGGGG